CCACCTAAAGTCCCTTAACCAAACAGTGCAGCACCAGGCAGAATCTGTAACTGGGGACAGGCTGGAGGAGAATCCAATAAAAGACTGGGTATGCTCTACCCCTGGACCCCTGTATGAATCCTTACAGAACCAGAGAGGAAAATCTCAAATCTGGGCCAGGACTGCAAATCCTAGCTAGGCAGCAGAGAGGAGTACATTTCTTTGGTGTCTAAGAAGGGTGAGTGGAGCCTGGAGAAAGGCAAGTTTGGGTTTAAGAATGTGAAACTCTGAAACAGGGAGCGAAGTGAAGCCTCAGCTACCCTGGTCCCATCTCCCCTCAAGGTGGAGCCTAGGGAGGGAGAACAATAAAATGGAAAATGCCAGGATGGCAGCCACTGTCCAGAAGGTGAGTTCCCAGGCTGGGTGAAGAGGCCCAGTGGCCCTTTTCTGTGTCAGGCTGTGGGGATGAAGAGATCAAAGTAGAGCAGGTTCCAGTGGGATCCAAGAGCCTGGGAGGTGACATTTGCATCTGCAGCTTCCTCCATTGTCCCAGCCTCCCAGAAAGAGAAAAGGAGGGGACCAGACAGGGCATGGGAACACTTTTCTTCCCCACCAGCACCACTAGGAATTTCCTAGTCTGTGGGAGGATCCCCCTACTCAAACACACACTTAAGGGTCCCTCCCAATAGGATTTATCTGAACCCCAGATCCTTCTTCAATCTCAGACATCACTTTCTTGACTGGATAGCTTGGGCCCCAAGTCCCCTGTGCTCCACAAATTTCTCCTCTTGCATCCTGCAGCCCGGACTCTAGACAGGAAAGAGCCCCCCAAACTCTATGCCAGCCCTACAAGGCCCCAAGTCTGGGCTAGAATCCAGACCCCGTGGTGGTGAGGCTCTTTGTTCTCCTACAGACTCAACCCACCCCCTCCTTTTTTTAAACTGGAATTTCTCCCATAAAAAAGGAGGCAGGAGCTCCAGAGCTTCTCTCTTTCTCTCTCTCTCTCTCTCTCTCTCTCTGTCTCTCTCTCTTCTCTCTCTCTCTCTCTCTCTCTCTCTCTCTCTCTCTCTCTCTCAGAATATAGAGGAAACAGAGAAATGACAGTTAAGGAGGGAAATCTGATCATTTCCAGAGGAGAAAATCTCAGCATTGAATAAGGCACACACCAACTTCATTTCTTTCATCCTCCCTATCATAAAATTCAGGCTACATGCCAGTCTTCAAGTGTGTGCATTAGGCTTGCCCCACTCCTGATGTAAATGCTGTTAAGGTGTAACTCTGACTTTGTCTTCCATACTATGGGTCGAGAATTCTTCCATCCACACCCAACTTCAGAAAGATACAAATATCTGTCTCTTCATTTTCCTAGTATTTTCCTGGGGGGGGTGTCTTTGTAAGCAGGCAGTAGGACATGTAAATTAATTGTACACAAACAGAAAAGCAGACACTAAACAAGAGCCTTTATTTGTATATGCATATAGAAAATTTAGGCAGAGAACTGGGTGTCTTCATGAACACATTTGGGCTGTGTCTACAAGGGATCCGCTGAGACAGTGCATTTATTCTGTCCACGTCCCTAAAAGCCCCAAGCACGAGTGTAGCATGCAGACACCCACACACACACACCCGCGCGCGCGCACACACACACACACACAGAGAGTGAAAAAGTAACTTAAACATATCCTGCTTCATATGTTGGAGAAGTTGAACTTAGCTGAGAACTTGGTTCACGGGAGGCCAAGTGGCTTCTGTAGATGTCCCTTTGAAAAAGCAACCCAGAGTGAAGCAGACTTCCTAATGGGACTGAGGACCATTTTCCACTTCCCTTCGTATATATTTAAATGCCCCATCTTTTCCGTCAACCCAGCAGCTCAGCTAGAGACCAGGAAGTCCCATTCCTTCTCATTTCTCTTGATTTTCTCTAAATTTCATCCATAGTCAAGCCCCATGGCTCATCCCTGAAGCCAGACGGGTGGAGGTGTGGCCGTGTGGTGGGGGCGGAGTGGGGGGGCGGTGAGCTTTGCAGCCGAGGTTTCAGCTCCGGGCTTTCTAGGGCAGCATCGCCTCGGAGATGTAATTACTATGTTTCCAGTGGTGCATATTCTCCTGGAGTGTTTAATTTGATTTTATTTGTGTCTCAGCGAGATCCACATTTTTTCGGGGGATGGGGGAGAAGCGACCCCAGGCTTAAAGTTAATTAACCAGCAAGGTTTTACTTTCCACCGCCCGCATGCAGGCTCTTGAATCCGCGCCTTCCACCGGGGTCCCCCGCACCCCAGTAGTGGTGTGGGCACCAAGGTCTTGGATAACCAAGCTGTGGGGGAGAAGGGTGACTACAGGGTGTTGGTCAGAGCATGCGACTTCCCCAGTCACATTTTTTGCGCCCTTAACCTCGAACTTTCCCCTCCAGCATTCCCCAAGTCGCTTTGGGGTCCTACATCTTCGGCTGGTCTTCTTAGCGAAGGCGATTTTGTTTCCTTCTCTCTCGTCTTCCCGCTAAATTTTGGCCGTCTAGTGTCCCTAATAAACGGAATTGTAAAGTTGCCTGGTTAATTAAATCTATATCTCATTGCAATAGGAATAGTTAATGTCCTTATATAAACCTGGAAAAGAACATACTATTAATTTTATTTATTGCTGGGTCTCCCTGTACGCAAAGCCTTCCCGCCTTTCTGGCCCCTGCTGGGGGCCATACCTTTGGGTCCTGAGGGGGTCTAGCACTAGGCCGAACCAGGGAGGAAGCCCCAGCAATGGGGCCGGCGCTTTAGGCCTTTTGTTTCTCCTGGTTGCCCCACAGAGCTGGTCCCTGTCGCCAGGGGTTCTCCATGGGGGCCCTGCACTTTACTGGATAGGAGGGCAGAGCCTCCGCATCACCTCTACCATGCGTGGCTGGAAAACCCGCAGACCTTCCCATCCACCCACCCCACCAGTCATGCATTAGGCAAGGGGGCCAAGGTCATACGACCCAGTCTAGCCTTATCCAGGCGGTGTTTGCTCTCCTCATTTTACCTTGACCTTGGACTCCAGCGGCAGGGTAGCCAGTTTCCTAAACTAGCCGACTCCCAGCAAGAACCCACCGTTCCCTGGGCTTATCTCCCCTCACCCCACCATCATTGCCCTCAACACACGGTGGCTGGCCTGCTGTGTTTCAGACCCCTTTCTGTTGTATTTTCCTTCTTGCTGCCAGCCCTTCGCTTCAGAACTCTGAGCTGACCATTCTTCTGGATGAAGATCACACCGATAAGAATTACATTTCCTATCCTAACTCACCAACGGCCTGGGCGCTCACAATCTTCAAATACCACCTTCTTCCCCCATGGAGGAAGGAGGCAATCGCGAGGGTCTCAGCTGGCCATTTGCCTCGGGTTTCAGGGGTCCACTGGGTCGGGCTTGGCGGGGGGCCTATTGCGTGGAGACAGCCTATGCAAACAGGCGCACCCAGCCTGTGGCAGAGGCAAGAAAGAGGGAGACACTGCAGCCCCTCTGCCCTGTTTTTTTTCCTCTCTTTATTACCTCTTCTCCTCAGGGAGGCCCTGAGCTGAAAGGGAACTTCCCTCAATTCCACTGAGATGCCCCTCGCCAAGGGGTAACTCTATTGAGGCCCAGGACAAGCGAGGGGGAGTTAGAACGAAAGAAGGGAGGGCTTGTTGAAAAAATCAGTACGTTGGTGTTAATTTTTCTTTGAAATAGAGGACAGTTTTAGGTCATGGAAATAATCCGTAGTAAAAGGGAGTGACCCCGAGAAAGCTGTGCAAGCTAAAAATGAGGTTGTTCAACTGAGGACTGCGTGGATCTCGGCTGTTTGGCCCCTCGGCCCTCACCACCCCAATCAGCCCAGGTCACTAAGGGCACAGGCGGATCCTGGGGACTGAGGTCGGACCTCAGGGATCCTCAAGAGTTGCACCTGGAAGAGATCCCTTCAGTGGGCAGTGTTGATTCTTCCCCGTTTTCCACATTACCTTCTGTACACGTAAAGGGGAGAGCGCAGTCTCCTAGGCATCCAAGGCTTTTCGCTTACTTCCTTCCACTGAATCTGCCTCCCCATTTGTTTGAAAAAATGCTCACTCTGAGGCTCTTATTTCTATCGCATATTGAAATAGTCTATTCTAGTCTATTGTCCCCCCCCCCACGTTTCCCTCCTTCTGTTTCTGAGCGTATTCCATCACTGCATGCCTCCCCCACCCGGTGATGAAATCTGTGTTTCAGGGCTATCACATCTCCCGACCCTCTCCGATATCAGCAAGAAAAGAGGGTCTGTGGGTTTAGGAAAAGTGGAAATGGAACCACAATCTGGGCATCAAAGACTCTGCACGGCGTCGTCGGGTTCTTACCAGCCGTGAGCTGGAGCGAAGCTTGCCAGGGCGGGAGCGCTACTGCTTGTTTTCTAGTTTCTTCATTTATTGTTATATTTTAAATCCAGTTTAGTCCCCACTGTTAGCTCCAAGCCCCAATTTAGAGACTTTGGCAGTCAAAGCTATCAGTTTGGGGGGGTGGGTCTCTGTTTCCCCTGTGCGCGCATCTTGAGCCTAGGAAGAGGAGCCCAGGCACACTCCTCTCCTCCCCAAGCCCCTTTGCGTCGGCCAAATTCGGCCTTCTCCCCTCCCCCTCCCTTACGGGGCCTGCCAGGAGGGGGCGTCGCCCTGTCCCTTTAAATCTCCCAGCTCCCTCCGCCTTTTCCCTTTCTAAGAGCCAATCAGTAGAGACCTCACTTCTTTTCGCTCCGCCTCACCTCTTGGGGAGGGAACCCCAGGAGACCCAAGCAGGTCATCACGTGGGCAGACCTTGGTCACGTGGGAGCCAGAAGAGTGCTAGGGGGTGGAGGGCGGGAGCTGGCGGATTTCTTAATGAAGTGTCTCCGCATGCGTAGAGGGAATGTGAGGAGGGAGGTGGAAGCACCAAGAGAAGGGGAGGGGTGGAGAGGGCAGGGAGGAGGGAGGGGGAGGGAAAAAGGGAGCGAGGTGTCTCCCTAGCTCGCTGCCTCTGGCAAGTGGAGTTTTTAAAAAGCTCGAGCAGATCATGTCATGACGACTTCGCTGCTCCTGCATCCGCGCTGGCCGGAGAGCCTTATGTACGTCTATGAGGACAGCGCGGCGGAGAGCGGCAGCGGCGGCGGCGGCGGCGGCGGGGAGGCGGCGGCGCGGGCGGCGCGGGGGGCGGCTGCAGCGGAGCGAGCCCCGGCAAAGCCCCGAGCATGGACGGTCTGGGCAGCAGCTGCCCGGCCAGCCACTGCCGCGACCTGCTTCCGCACCCCGTGCTGGGCCGCCCGCCGGCTCCTCTGGGCGCCCCTCAGGGCACCGTCTACACGGACATCCCGGCTCCGGAGGCTGCTCGCCAATGCGCTCCGCCGCCGGCACCCCCCACCTCGTCCAGCGCCACCCTGGGCTACGGTTATCCATTTGGGGGCAGCTACTACGGCTGCCGCCTGTCGCACAACGTGAACCTGCAGCAGAAGCCTTGCGCCTACCACCCGGGCGATAAATACCCGGAGCCGTCGGGCACCCTGCCCGGTGACGACCTGTCCTCCAGGGCCAAGGAGTTCGCCTTCTACCCCAGCTTCGCCAGCTCCTACCAGGCGATGCCCGGCTACCTGGACGTGTCGGTGGTGCCTGGGATCAGCGGGCATCCGGAGCCGCGTCACGACGCACTCATTCCCGTCGAAGGTTACCAGCACTGGGCTCTTTCCAATGGCTGGGACAGTCAGGTGTACTGCTCCAAGGAGCAGTCGCAGTCCGCCCACCTCTGGAAGTCTCCCTTCCCAGGTAAGGAAGGGGCCTGAGAGCCGCCGCCGCCACCGCCGGCCGGGGACCCCTCCCCGCCCTGCCTGCCCCGGGGCTCCGCGCCCCAGCCACCCCCGCCGTCTGGCCTCGGCGCGCCAGCTCGGCTGGGCTGTCGATGGAGCCGGCCGGGCGAGCTGCGCTGAGGAATGCGCTCGGGAAGAAATCTGCTCCGACACGTTCCCCGGAGCTGCCGGGTCGAGAATGAAGCAATCAGAGGCGCCCGAGCGCCGGCTCGGCTCCCGTCGGGAGCTCGCCTCCTCCTCCTCCTCCTCCTCCTCCTCCTGCCCGCTCCAGCCTCTTGCAGGGCTCCGGGAATCTAAACCCGTTTTCGGCCAGGAATGGGGTCGGGGTGGGCCTCCAATGCCTTGGAACCTAAAGCAAAACTCTCAACCCACTGAATGATTGGGGAGGGATAAGAACCCTCATCTTGTCCGAATTTTCAGGATCGTTCAGGCACTGGATAGTAGTTTTAAAATAGGGACGTAGTTTGTCAGATTCTATAGAAATGTACAGTTTTAAAAAAAAATTTTTAATTCATCCATCAGTGTTCTGATTGTTAAGAGATCAGGACAGCTGAAATCTCCGGAGAGAGGTGAGGGAAGGAGACTCACATCTCTCTCCTGGGATATAAAATATTCTTTGCCACACTGGTATACTGAGCTCAAATCTTATGAATGTTCCCACTGCCAGGTCCTCCAAATGTGGTCAAGATAGTGAAAGAGGGGTTGGAGATGAGAGGTAGGGGAAAAGACTTGTATTCGTGGTCTGGTTCCAGGCCACCGGCTGGGGACCCCTGGGTCTTATCTGGCTTTGTATGGGAAGGCAGAATTCACTGATGTCCTGTTTCCTCTCTGACTGAGGCTATCTCTGAATAGGAAAGGATCCTGCAACTCCCCAGAAAGGATCCTGTCACTCACCAGAGGAGAAAGACCAATCTCAGGTTTCCCAAAATCACATTCGGAGCTTTCTTTGAATTCTGCTCTGAGAAATAAGGGTTTGGGGTGTAGAGATGAGTCTGCTTCCCCTGTAAGCAAAGCTCAGTGAAAGAAGTTCCTCCCTTTTGATGCCTACAGGATGGAGGTGGTGGGGATGGAAGAGGGGAGAGAACCATAGATGTCTCCCCATACTGCCCAGAGGGCCCCTCCCAGCTCCACAAGCTGGGCCCAGGAATGTTTTTACTAGGAGGTATAAACCTGAAGACTTCCTACGAGTGGGCCTAAAATTCCTCTGCATCCGGGATCGGGAGCAAAGATAGATAGACCATGAAGAATAGCAAATAACAATCTTACAAATCTTACAAATACTATGAGGCTACTTAGTATTCCACAACTCAATCCAGAATGGGACCAGCACAAGGCACCCATTTCTGAAGGCCAGAACTGAAGATGATTCTATTTTAGTAAATGGTACCATGCATTGCTTACTCTGTATTGGCTGTAAGATTTTTATATAATATATTTTTATTAACTACCTAATATGAAACATTTAATGCATTTCCAGAAGACGGGCAGTTCATACATAGGCATACTATAATGTATTATAAAGAGGTTGCCCCTTAATTCACTTATCTCACCAAAGCAGAAAGCACCTTAAGAGATGAGGGTCAAGCAGGAATTCCTGGGGCAGTGGAGCTGATGGACTATGCCAAGGGACCCTTGGGCAGGTGAGCAGGTGCTCACTAGGCCCACTGTGGGCAAGACATCCTTGTATATGCATATGGATTGTGGCAGGAGTAAAGGATTGGAGAGGAAGTCAGAAATGTCTTTGGGCAAAATAAATACCTCAATGATTCCTCAAAAAAAAAGACTCCACTAAAAATAAACACTTTTTGATCACAGCCTCCTACAGAAAAACCTTTGAGATGAAAAAAATACAGCCCAATTGAGATTTAATACACTTGCAGATCACTGCAGGGAAATGGTTATAAAACCCAGAGTTCCTCAGCAATTCCCGGTGTGGCTATAGAATTGGACTCAGGTATATCAGTGCAGAGGTCCAGGACAGGAGCAGATGAAAAAGAAATTATCTTCAGACACCCTCCATCTTTCTACCCACACAGGTCTTTTAGAAGTAGTGAGATTTCCAGATAACTCTGTCTATGCAATTGTGGTTTGTTCAGCAACATCTAGGCATAAACACCACTGTCTCTCTTCAATGCCTCTGGCTCTGAGAAACCTCATCTATGGTAGTCTGAGCTGGTATGGGAGATGGAAGCAATTGTTCAGAAAGATCCAGATAATTAGGGCTGAGATGTGTTGTGGCTTCTTCTTTCTCCCAATTACACAGACCTTTGCTTCATTGCTCTGAGTTCTCCCACCGCCCCCCCATGCCTCGCCCCGCTTCCTTGGTGAGTATAGACAACTTTCTTTACTGAGAGCTAGAAATTCCAGGCGAGAATTAGAGAGCGAGTGGGAGACAGGGTTGAGGGAAAGAGAAAGGAACAGTGGGGCTTGGGGGGCCATACTAGAAGTCTCTACTGACAAGCCTTTGAATTTGGGTTGAGAAGAGCAGTTAGCTGGATTTCTAGTTGAACAGGATAATCTTCAGAACCCAGAAGGTAGGTAGTCAAGTGTGGGCAGGCTCCTGTGTACAGGATCCCCTCAATCCCAAAAGAAAGCAATGGCTGGGCATTGTTTTGATTTTTATTTGCTCCTCAAAGGTGTTGATTAGGTTCCCAGGTATGAGATGATTGGTGTATGAGGTCAGGAGGAAGACTAGAAAGGGGTGATTGGGAAATTAATAGCCAAGTCCCCACTCACTTTAGGCAGTGTAGATATAGCTCAAGGTCTAAGCTACCAGATGTTCCCCATCTGTAGCTCCCACTTCCAGTCAAGGCAGCAGACAATGAAAGGGGGCTTCTTTGAGAACACAAGACTAAGGTTGTTTCCCCAGGTAGCCAAAGCAACCTGCATTTTGGTCTGATCCACGAAAAACTAGGGCAAATCAACCCTTGACATCCTATAGAGAAAAATAACAAGGTTACTTTTTACACTGATTATTTAGGGTTGTGTCGATTAAATCTCAATGGAAATTTAGAATTGGAGTTTAGAAAACCAAAACTGGTTAGCTAATTGTGAGAGTTTACAGAAAGTGGGGTTAAAAAATCAAGAACAATTATCTGGTTAATTCAGAAACTAAAACCCATCTTTATTCCCACTTTGCCTGCAGCAAAAAGGAGGTATTTTAAACTTGGGTTGTACCAGAGGGTCTATTTCCATTTTTGAACATACAGTATCATTATATGAAGAGTCAGAAGAGTCTGGATTTAGAATCTGATTTTGTCATTGAAGTTATTTTGCCCGCTCTGTACCTCTAACTCCTGCTCTTGTAAAATGGGTTTAATAAAAATAAGCCTGAAGAAATATTCTGAGAATTTAAGAACAAAAACAAAAAACTCATAATATCATTACTTACCCTCTTCATTTTTTTTCTTGTCCTAGAATCATCAGTTTCCCAAACCATGATTACATCTACAAGAGTAAAACAAATTTGAGAGCTGAGGGATTAAAAAAAATTATATTGTACTAAAAAAATCTTCTTTTAAACTAAAGGATCTTACCTGTTAAAGTGAAGTTGTTTTTGTTTTTCAAACTTTAAAAATCTTGGTTTATTTATACAGAGGCAGAGAAAAATGACATTTGACAATTTCCTGAGAAATTGTCACCATGAAGATAGCCAAGGCAGGCCATTGGAATTCCACTTTCATCTTTCTCCCTGAGCACTGTATTTCTCCCTGCATTTGACTGTGATCTCTTCTCTTCCCTTTCCTGTATAAACAGGGTTCTCTGAAAGAAAGCAGATCCACAAGGAATGGTGTAGGGAAGATGTTTGGGGAAAATGGGGTATAAAGAAGCTTTGTGTCTTCACTCTGAGCTGTGTGGACAATTCCACAGGACAATAAGAATGAAGAAGAAACATCAAATATCCAGTCTTCCTCATTAGCTTCTGCCTGGAAAAATTGAGGGCTAAGTTATTTAGATAATCTCCCTCATCCGTCCACTTGCAAGTGCTGCTATGACCTTTTACTGCTAAGGGATGCAGTAAAGAGGAAGACAGGGATGTAAGTGATATGCTGGTTTTAGTTAATGTGAAATCCTCACAGCCTAAAGAAACTGAACTGGTAGTGGTTGAGATGACAGGATTAGGGTTTAAGATTAGGGTCGGTGTGTGGGATGTAATCAGTTTCCTTTACCTTGGAAGGAATTGAACAGGGAGGGGCTTGAGAGAGATTTTGCTCTTTCTGGTGAGACCTGGGTAGGAACCCCTATTTACAGGGATCTGATTCCTTGTGTCAAGGCAGGTCTTCCTACCTTGTGTGGTTAGATGATTCACAACATTGGGCCCCAGTTCCTACAGTGACTGATTCCTAAGCAGGCTGGCTTCACCTGTTCATGTTTCTTCTCTTTATGTTGGGACCTCAGATCCCTATTGCAGGCTAGAGCCCAAAGGCATGAGGACTTATTGGTGGTCTCTAGTCTCTGTCTCTGAAGCTTACCCCCTGCCTGCCAAACCCTCCTCAAACATACAACAGAACTTCTCTGACACTGGGGCAGAATATAGGCTGATAGACCTTCTAACTATTAGCTAACTGCAAGAAGAAATACTTTTCTAAATATCCAAAATACTGTAAGTATGACAAGGATGGGGATTTGAGGATCCCCTTAAAGGGTCCAAAGTTCCTAATAATGAGTGTTGTGCAGAGCCATATTGGACACTAAGGCGAAAGGAAAATTCAGTAATACTGATCCTGTTTATTTTTTTAAAAAACTATTGTTTATTGATTTCTACATTCACTGTGATTTTTAAAGAACCTCATTAAAATATTATCTTGATTACTAAGTTTTTGGAGCCCCTTCCCTCAGTTTGTACCAGAGCTAGTACTCCAGTGGCCTCACCCTATTCGTGGCCTGGCTAAAAACAGAGGTGCAAAGGATTAGGGGGCTTCCTCAGGCAGAACTATTCACAAGCAAGCTTTTGAGACCCTTCCCAAACCATGTGCCTGTGCAGGCAGCCTTTCAATCTCCCTTAGTTGGATCCAGCCAACCGCCTCACCTCCTCCCGCCTGCCTTCTCTCTTCCCCAGATGTGGTTCCCCTGCAGCCCGAAGTAAGCAGCTACAGGCGCGGGCGCAAGAAACGCGTGCCCTACACTAAAGTGCAGCTGAAGGAGCTAGAGAAGGAGTACGCGGCTAGCAAATTTATCACCAAAGAGAAGCGCCGGCGCATCTCGGCCACCACGAACCTCTCCGAGCGCCAGGTCACCATCTGGTTCCAGAACCGACGGGTGAAAGAAAAGAAGGTGGTCAGCAAATCGAAAGCGCCTCATCTCCACTCCACCTGACCATCCACCCGGCAACCCGCCCCATCTATTTATGTCACCGCTTTGTACCATAACTGAACCCATCGAAGGACACTGCACTCAGTGCAGATGAGTATTTAATCTTAAGAGGAACCGCGCGCGCGCGCGCGCGCCAGAGGCGGAGAGTCTCCGAGGCTGTGCTTGGCCTTACCTTACCCCCCATCCCATCCCAACCTCATTCCCCATCCAGATGGTGTCCACCGAGCTCCAACAGCTGGGGAGGTGGGTCCGGGTGGGTTTGGGAGGAAGACTGTTGGCCTCTACTCCCCCTGGCCCTCATTACTCGCCTCACCAGAAAGCAGAGTGGCAGCGGAGAGCCCAATCATTCCGACCAAAGCAGGATTGGGGAAGGGGGGGAGCGTTCCAAATGACCCAGTTCTTGCCTATACCCAGGATGGTAGAAGACCCTCCTTCAGGGTGGCTTGGGCACAACATCTGGCGAGCCCACACTTTCCTTCCAGTTCCTCCTTTTCCCTGTACCTCCCGCACTCCATAAGCAAATTTCCCAGTTATGATTTTCTGTGCATATTTTTAAATTCGTGTTAATATTAATGTTATTAGGGACCTGGCAGCGTGATTGGACTACAGATGATGCTGTGCTTGGAGCTTGTAGGTTTTCCTTCTTTCCTGTCTATTTCAACAAAAGCTGAAGTTGGTACCACCCCTCTGCCCATCACAGCTTAGAAGCAATTTCTCAGGAGGGAGGTGCCTTTGATCCACTCCCTCCTCTGCTCTTTCTCTGAGTCAAGTGAAAATTCAAGGAGGACAAAAACTCCAACCATGCTGCTAAATGCGGCTTATCTCTTCTCTTTCTCTGTCATAGTGAAGTTGGGAATTTAGGTAGGCTCAGAATCTGCCCAGGCTCAGAGAGTGGGTCCCTCAGCAGAGTCCCTCTTCACTCACTTCTCCAACAACTTAGGAGAGAGACCTTACGCTTTCACTTTTACTGATTTCCTGGGGAAAGCTAGAAGAGCTAGTCTAGTAGGCTAAAATAACTGGCCAAAATTAACCAGCCAAATGTAGATGCTGCCTAATATTTCTCTCCTCAAAAGCCAACTTGGTGCTGTGGGGGCCCCTTACCTCTTCCTTTCCCACTGGCACATTACAAAACAGTGTTCTTTTGAAATGTCCATCAGAAATAGGCTCTTTTTTTTTTTTAAATGTTTTGTGTATCTGTATATAGTATTGTGATGTCTGGATGACAATGTACTGAATGCAAAAAGAAAAAAACTCACAAATCTGTTTTTAAAATAAAAATATCTTTTTTTTTGCCTTGATTTTATTGCTCTGATTCCTTCTGAAGTTCCTCTATCCACTGGCTCTTTAGGGCCATCTGTTATGTCATGACTGGGCCAAAATGGACAGAGGAAAAACATAGACATCACCACTCAGCTGGGTAGATCTTCAACCTATATTGTGTTCCACTTAGGTTTTTAAGCTATTTGGGTTGTCTGTACTATCTGTAATATCTGCACAAGATAAAGCTTCCCACCCTGACACCCAGCTTAGATGAATTTATGTTACAAGAGAGAAAATGTAATTAATGATTGTAAAGGCCTAGAAGTGAGTGAGTGAGAAAAGTACATAGCAGGACATGCCTTAGCTCAGTGGTACAGGGCTTACCTAGAATGTGCACGACTCTGGGTTTAATTTCCAGTAGCCTCCCCCCTCTCCATCTGGGTGCTAAGAAGGCAGCAAGCATCCCAACTGGGAGCTGGGTGGGGCAGTGGTATATTGCTAAGTTAGGCTCCCGGCATTCTACTGCCCCAGAGGTTTCCAAATCCCTCCAGCCAGTTCATGCTTGAGGTTGGGATTAGAATAGGGTCTGTGCTATCCGCCAGGGGTGCCTTTGGGCTTAGCTTTCCCAGGCTACACTCTTTTCTTCCCCTCCTCAACCTATGAAGAGAGATTTGAGTATTAGAGCCCCTTGAGTCCCCAGTTTGCCACATCAGTTCCACTTTTACTCTCTAGCATTCCTGGGAGCACCAGTTTTCCAGGCAATCAGGAGGCTGTGTAGATACTGCCACTAATTTGTTTTCCTTGTCGCGTCTGTGCCTATCTCCCTATCTGGTAGAGTTAATGAGATCGTTAAGTTGTCAGGTTAAGAGACTTTTAAAAAGCAATATAGCCTAAAACAATGTTATCTCAGATTAAATCTTTACTGCAGCAATTTTTATTTATATATAATATTTTTCCTCTCTGGAGACACAGAAAGACTGGAGGCATGTTGGAAATCAGAGTTCTCTGTTTTCCCCTTGCTTGATGGGGCTGAAGCTTTTAAGTTTTCCTTTAAATAAGTATTTCTGGGGGGCGAAGTGTGTACACACACGCGCGCGCGCGCACACACGCAATCTGAGAGACAGAGCCTGAAGAAATCACTCTCTGTGGAGACTCTGCTATCGATGTGACTACCAGTCTTGTTCTGCTTGGCTCAACTCTGAATTGACTACCTGAGAACCACACACTGAGCAGTGGAGATTTGAGAGGGAATAGAATCTCCTAGGAATAAGATTCACTCCATTTCACTTCTCTCCCCTTCCAACATGCCAACCTCTCTCAAAAAGCCTCTAGATCTCTCCTGAAATAGAGTCTGAGACTAAATGTGTGTGCTTTGTTAGAGAAAAGAACAGTAGACAAGAAGCCTGGGGCTCTTTTGATATAGCCCTCAGCCCATATCTTAATTGTCTGGAGTAGTCCCAAGACAAAGTTGTAGACCCAACAGAAGCTGAGGGACTTAAAGTTCTCAGAAGGATCCTGCTATTTCAGTACACACACCCCCTACACTTAATCAAATGATCAAATGATGGAGTCTTAGCCATTCCCCCACACACACAACGTGCCTGAAGCCTCAGCTCCTCAGGAGACTGGAAGCCTTCCCATGCTGAAGGATCCACTTAAGACCCCAGAAGTGGGAGATGGAAGTGAAAAGAAAACTTGTGCAGGCTCATTGGGACTGCATGATGTCACTGGTAAGGTAAGCCAGGATTGCAGTTCTTCTGAATGCCTGTGAGCCTCAGTGTGCCAAGGTGTTTAGGACTTTTTAAAGAACTTAAATATATCCAGGTTGATTTTTGAAGATTATCATGCCTAGATTAATTTTGGGATGTGTCTACTATCATAAGAAGCAAACACTGTGCGAGTGTGTTAAGTATGTGTTCTGGGAGGCAAAGTCGGGAAATGTATTATTATTTCCCTTATTTTGTTGATTTCTTACCTTTCCTTCCCCCAAGAGATGGTACTGCCATTGGGGATGCTGTAAGCTATTTCTGTGAAGGAGTGTGTGTGTGTGTGTGTGTGTGTGTGTGTGTGTTTCTAGAGCCTTTGAGTGGTGGACAAGGTCCTGCCTTTGTGAATGTGAATGTATAAATAAGAATGTTGTCGGGTGGCACTCATCTCAGGGTGTAGAGGATATTTTCTCTTTATTCACATCTATAACAAGTCTTTTTTCTAAGGCCAGTCTCCTAGTGCCTGTGTTGGAGTAAGACTGTATGTGAAGGCAAATATGAGGCTAAGTACAGAGGGGTAGGGCAGTCTGAAGGGCTGTGAACACAGAGGTTCCCCTCCGGAAACAGGCAGACTGAGGGTCTGAGGTGCCTGTAATTTTTCTCATTATTAGATGGCACTCCCCACCTCCCATATGCCCCCAAGAAGAGGGCTGGGGTTCCTAGGAGCACTGAGGCCTCACAGTAGTCTCTCTCCCAGGCTGCCAGGGTTTTGGGCTCAGCTAGATCCTTTCCTGAGGCGCTTTTTTTTTGGGGGGGGGCTTTCTCACCTGCATTAGTTTCAGATCTAGGGCCAGCAGGATAGCCTTTCAGCCAGTACTCCCACAGCCGGAACCCACCTGAGGGAACAAGGCCAGCAATTCTCTCTCGGCAGATCTCTCCCTGAGACCATCTTCTTCTACGTTTCAGTCAGGCGCTGGGTCAGCAGTGGGGATGAGGTGGGGAGCAGCAGCCTACTGTGGGTGCAAGGCGCCATCTCGCTAAAAGGCCCTCCTGTTGGAGCCAAGTTTGCTGCTGCAGCCCCCTCTGCGGCTCCATCCTATTCAAGAAGAACTCCTCATCACAGGATAGCCTGAGTGGGTCTTGGATGGCATCGGAGCTCTCGGAGCTCTCGCTCAAGAAAACTCCAAGAGCCTTTTCAGGCAGTGTGTATCTAGACCTACGTTGGTGGGGGACTGAGCGGCCCTGGAGAGCAAGGGGCTTCTGGGAGGAGGAGGAGGGGGCCAGAACCTTTTCACAACCAACCAGGCTCTTCCTCTTTTAGCCTTGACCGTGACTAGGTCTTTCTGACCTTGACATCACAGGGAGCACAGGGAAGGGGGGAGGGTGGAAAAGGCCTTGATCTTCCGGTGGCCAGAGAAGGGGAGGTCCACTTGCCCCTTAGACGCGCCATCCCCCTTCCCGCCGAAGCCCGCCGCCTCTGTTTACACACAGAGGAGGTGTCGTCTCCAGTCTAGACAGGGGCGCTAATAACGCCCATAAAAGGCGGCCTCTCCAGAGATGCTCTGGTAACTCAGCTCTTGCGCGCCTGCCGCTGGCCGCTCCCTCCGCTTCTCCTGCCCCGCCCCCTCGTATACCTCGGCAGGGCTTGCGGGCCGCATTGGGGAGGGGGGGATTCCAGAAGATTTCTAGAAGCTGATAACCCACCCCCCACCCTCACCCTTCCGAGCCTCTTCGGTCTCCAAAGGTAAGTGGACCCCTGTTCTCCCAGTCCAGCCAGTCTTGGGATTGACGACAGAAGATTTTTTCCATCCCCACCAGCCTCCTATGCCGGTTGCTCCAACCCCAACCCGCGTTCCTCATCCAGGATTGAGGCCCTGGGTTTGAGAAGCAGCTGGGTAGCTGGGTGAAGCAGGACCCAAGCAGATCTCACGTCTTCTCCAGAGCTGGGTCTGGTCAGTGGACAGGGTCAGAGTCAGCGGACCAGGCCGAGGGGCAAGGGCACACAGAATAGTGCTCATACCTCCGTCCCCAACCCAGCTTCGAGGTCCGCGGAGATCAGGCCTGAGGCTCTTGGCTGCGCTACAAGCGGCTGTGGGTGTGGCATTTATGTGCTTTTTTTTTTTTTTTTTAACTTGGTCCCCACACCTTTCCTGACATTCAGTAATTCACTAGGCGGAGGAGATCCTCTGCTGGTGGAGGGGGAAAATGTCAGAGCTGTGGTTCTATTTAACCGTTAGCGCGCCACCGAAAGGACAGAAAATGGGGGAAGAGGGCTCATTTAGGGATACTCAGGTGTATGTGTGTGTGTGTAGTTGGTCTCCCAGACTTTCACGTCTGGGGCCTTTCACCTCTTCCCCCATTTTCTGAGCCGCAATCGGGCTAGAATCTTGTGGTGGGAGGGGACCCAGAGGAGCCGCGGGATTGGAGGAGCCTGAGTTCTGAAAGCCTGTCTGGTCTTCCAGTGTTCGCCCAGGCCCCCTCCTCGGAGCTGTAGATCCCTAGAAAGCAGCACTGGGGAAAGGATCTCTCAATTTGATCCTTAAATCCTGGGCATCCTCAGGGAGATTGGGAACCCTAGAGGAGTCATTGAAATGACAAATTAGGAGACAGAGACCTACCCCTACCCCTCAGCCCTGTCTGAACCAGATAAAGTTCTTCTCCCACGCCTTAACTGTCCCAGATAAAGAAGGCCAAGGAGTCGGGTGCCCCCCTCCCTCCCTGCAGCCGCCGCTTTTCCCTTCTTTTCCTCCAAGCTTTCGCCTCAGCCCTTCAGGGGCCCAGGCCCTGCCTCATTTGCATATGCGGAGGAACCGCTTTCTACAAACTAGACAGTGACCTTGAACTGGGCCTAGGCAGCTCCTCGACCCACCAAACAGAAGGCAGCACCGCGCTGAGTAATTCTCGATTTGGGGTTGGTGGGGGAGCCCCAGCGCAACCGCCTGAAGCCCATTCCAGGCCAGCTGCTTTGCCACAGCCACTAGAGCCGGCGTCGATTTTATAATTAACTTCTGTCTCTGGTCTCCGCGGCAGTAGAGGCCACGAGGATGCGGGAGGGAGGGAGGCACGGATAGAGAAGGTGTGGGAGAGATGAAGGGGCATCCAGCTGGTGGATGCGCTGAAAGACGCGGGCTGCCCTGGATCTTCAACGAAAGCCTTGGACTGTATCCTTGCCTTCAGCTTTAATTAACCCCTGAATTAATGAGCGGGGCATGGTTGAGCCAGGCCAGCTGCGGCGGGATCCAGTGGCCTAGGGACCATCAGGCAAGCCTTCTTGCCTTGTGATTTGATGAATGCGCGAGAGAGTTTGGACGCATCAATTGCTCGGCTGTTGACCAACGACAGTTTTGCGTATGGGCAGCGGACTGCTGGTGGATTAAACCAAGCTAAAGGCCGCTGCTCAACGCCTTGGGCTTCCAGCTCCTCCTGGTCTCTTAACCCAGCCTCAGCTAGATTCTAGCGAGCAGCTTTGCCGAGGTTGGATTTAGAGCTGAAGTTTTGCACCCTAGCCTCCCGCCGGCCCCGGGGATCCAGGTTGGGAGTGGCTTTTTTTGTTCGAACCTGGTTAAAGAAAGGGCTCCTGAGTTGGGAGACTGGCGAGATCATTTAGAGGCAATCAGAGTCACCGGGAGACTGGACGCTTAGATTGCCTGGGTCCTTGGCAGGGTCTTGAAAATCCCTAGGTTCACAGTGGGCCTTGAGGAGCAGGACACTGAGGAGTCTAATTTTGCTGATGGCTGTAGTCGGCACTCCCAGAGAGAAATCAGGATCGGTTGCACGGAAGGAAAAGGGGTTTTTGTGAGTGTGTCTGTACTCAGTCTGAAACCTCAATAGGAAAAATGGACCTATTTTGATGGGACCAAATCGGGCTGAGACAAATGCATGTCTGAAAGAAGGAAACCCTCACCCTATTCTTATTTCCCCTGCGTTGCATCTGCCTCCCTGTGGCTGCTGTTCAGTGCGAACAGCGGTCAGGCCCAGGAATGGAGGGAGAAGAGCTCCTGGGCTGAGATTTGCGAGCTGGGGAGTGCTGGGGAGAGGCTGAGACCTTCCTCCTGGGTTCCCTTTTCTAGGAGATTGGAAGTCCTCAGCGAAGGGAAATGGGGAGACACCCCACAAAGGCTAGTGATTATTCGGCAAAGGCAGCTCGGCATCTCTCACACCAACAATAGCGGCTGAGCACAGAGGCCTGGAGAGCCTGGGCGGAGACCTCGCTGCCAGCGCTGTGTTCTGATTGAAATCAGCAATATTAAGTCACACCCTGTTTATCTTTATGACCAAAATAGCACCCAAATAAAAAAATTTAAAGCTAAATTTTCATTTTTGATCACTAATGCATCTTGAAAGGAGAAAATATGATACTGGAGATGCTGTGACATGAAATTGGCAGCTGAGGAAACTGTTTTCTGCCTCACAGTCTCTTAATCAATTAGGCACAAAAAAAAGCCAAGCCAAGCGGAGTCTCCGCTCCATTCCGGGGCGCTCCTGGACCTCTGGGCTCTGACTGGAGGTTAACTAAGTTGTCATCCTACCGCTCGGTCTCCGTCTTGGTTCGGGATGGTGGGCCAGGGGCCAGGCGGACTCCTGGAAGCGGGAGGGGCGGGCGAGGTGCCCGGCAGGCTAAGGCGGGGAAGGGGAACTGGCCAAGCGGGACGAAGCCGAGCTTCGAGCAGCGAGTTGCTGCTGCTGCTGCTGCTGCTGCGCGCGAGGCAGGGCGGCGCCCGCGGGGACACATTTCTGTCGGAGTGAGCAGCTATGGTTTGGGATATGAAATCACTCCGGGAGCTTGGAATTCGAAGAATCCGCGTTTCTTTCTGCCGTGTCCTATAGAGAAGAGAGGGAAGGGAGAGAGAAAAAGAGGCAGATGAGAGTCTTCTCCACTTTGGGCTGTTTTTGACCAATTCTCTGATATTTAACTTTCACCTACATGGGTTCCTTTCTCTTGTATTCTTTCGGACTCTCTATCTTTCAAATTTTCTGTAAAATTCCCCGTGCTTCTCTTTTTGTATTTACACGTTTGCTGAACCATTCAACTAACCTTACACTGCTAAGTCCGTGCCTTAGAAGTTCACAATAATCATAGAAATCTGAGGGGTTTTTTCTATTATCAACTCCATAAGTTTTTTTGGGAGGGTTACTTCTCTTTTAAATCTGCTTGACTGTTCTGTGCACCTAGTTGAGATCCGGATGTGGATTTGCAGAAATTGATATCATCCCACTGGCCAGCATTGGGTTCTCAGCCTTCTATGGAAGGAGCCTCTGAGGTGTGCACCATAAATATAATTTTAAACCCCCAACAAGATACTTCTGCAGGGTTCTTTCCCTCATTCTCAGGCCACCTCAGGAGGCAACCTACTGCTGGCCTCTACACTGCAATCTGATGGTCACAGCGGCAGGCTGGCTGGTTCTGGGGTGTGGTTGTCTCCTTTGCAGTGGGAATCAGGATACATTTTCAAGGCCCTCCAAGCGCTGCTGGGCGCCCACAGCCTACTGCCCCAAAGACTTGACGAGACCGCCCCCAAGCTCTTCAGTTCCCCAAAAGTAGTTGGAACCCCCCGATTTTCAAGAGCTGTCAGGGCACTGAGCTGGGCACATTGTACTACTGCTTTCTCTGCCTGCCTTCCGTGTCCTTCCTCTAAAGGGTGAGTGAAGTTGTGAGGCTGGAGTGGTTCCTAGTTGGGGAGAGGGGAGAACCGGTGTTACCAGTTCTCCCTGAGCCCTTCTAGGATGAGAGGACCCCAAATATCTCTCTAAATTCCTGAGGAGAAAGAGTCAATGAAGATGAGCGCAGCAGCGGCAGGGCTGGGAGAGCTAGTTGCAGGGAAACCTGTCCTTACCCACTTCGCTTCTACTGTAAATAAACCCCGAGCCAAAGGGCTCATCCGTCTCCTTAAACAGCCAGTAAACTTTATATGACACAATATCTAATAGTAATTTATTGGGGAGATATTGTAAATTCCAACGGTTTTAGTTAATAAAGGAGCTAATTAAAGAGGGACGGGCTGTACTCGGCCAGCTGTTGGTGATAAGATAATACATCTGTGGGGGTGTGTGCAGGGTGCAGGGGTGTGTATGTGCCGATATTTTTGGTGTGGCTTTTTTTTTCCCTTTTGCCCCGTGTCAGGCGATCGCTTCACTGTCTGTGTTAGGTTTTATAGGATTTTTAAAAAACTAGAATCCAGCGAATAAACCTGCCCCCGCCCTTCGTCGCCCCTACCCCCGCCCGGGATTGGGGAAGGGGGAAGTTGGAGTTTGTGCGGGTTGTGTGTGTGTGGTGGGGGGGGTGGATCGCCTGTCCCCACCTCTCCCCCTGGCGGCGGCGCCCACGTGAGCGGGGCGGCCAATGGGTGGCCGGTGCAGGTTTAACTATGTTTAATGTCAGATAGCAATAAAGTAGAAGCTGCCTGTCGGGCCCCGCGGAAATGGGCGAGCATAATCTCCTGAATCCTGGGTTTGTGGGGCCGCTGGTTAACATCCACACGGGAGACACCTTCTATTTCCCCAACTTCCGCACGTCCGGGGCGCAGCTCCCCGGGCTGCCTTCGCTGTCCTACCCACGCCGCGACAACGTGTGCTCGCTGCCCTGGCCGTCGGCTGAACCATGCAATGGCTACCCGCAGCCCTATCTCGGCAGCCCAGTGTCGCTCAACCCGCCTTTCGGCCGCACGTGCGAGCTGGCGCGAGTGGAGGACAGCAAGGGTTACTACCGCGAGCCATGCGCGGAGGGCGGCGGCGGGGGCCTGAAGCGTGAGGAGCGCGGGCGCGACCCGGGAGCCGGGCCGGGGGCAGCGCTGCTGCAGCTGGAGCCGTCGGGGCCGCCTGCGCTCGGTTTCAAGTACGACTACGCGACAGGCGGCGGCGGTGGCGACGGTGGCACAGGACCCCCACACGACCCACCCTCGTGTCAGTCACTGGAATCCGACTCCAGTTCGTCTTTACTCAACGAGGGCAACAAGGGCGCAGGCACAGGCGACCCTGGCAGCTTGGTATCACCATTGAACCCTGGCGGCGGGCTCTCAGCCAGCGGTAAGGACCCCAGCCCACTCGTGCGGCTTACTCAGACATCTTAACCAGGGCAAGCAGGGTAGAACTGAGCTAGGGCTGCCTGGGGTGACAGAATGTGTAGTGAGCAAGCGCTTCTTTTAAAAAAGAAGTGCAGCCGTGCGTGTGTGTAGGGGGGGGAGTCCTATAAACATGTAAATATCCCCATAAAAGAACTGGAAAGATTTCCTTTTTCGTTTGCCTGAGGCTGGAGGGGGCAGGGAGCTCCAGAGAAGAGCTCCTGACCGGGACTTCCCAAGGCCTGTGGGGGTAAGGAGGTGGGGAACTGAGTTTCTGGTTCCCTTTCTCCCAGGTGCCTCTCCGCCTTCCACTGGACCCCTTACCTGCATTTTTTTTTAAATTTTAAGAGGTAGACACAGTTTACTCATCACTTGCCCACGTCTATTCTAATTGATGGGGATCCAGTCCTGGAGGATGTGGGAGAACCGGGTCAGGAAAAAGGGAAGAAGAAAACTACAGGAGAGGTTTTGGAAAAAGTGAAGAGATAGGAACATAGAAGGGTTGTGCATACTACAGTAAGAAGTAGGTTTGAGGGGCAAAGAAGGAAAGGAGTGGGGACATTGGTGGAGATGGGGGTCTGTGTGAAGAAGACGTTCAGGGAGCCAGGAGGGAAGAAAGGAAGAAAGTGGTCTGGGGTCTGGTATGGGGCCAAAGAGAAAGGATGTGGGGAAGGGCCTAAGGCACTGAGCTGGTCGCCTCTTGATCCTCTGGCCAACCTACGGTTCATCTCCACCCAGGCGCGCCCTGGTACCCGATTCACAGCCGTTCACGGAAGAAGCGCAAGCCCTATTCGAAGTTGCAGCTGGCGGAGCTGGAGGGCGAATTTCTGGTCAACGAGTTCATCACACGCCAACGCCGGAGGGAACTCTCAGACCGCTTGAATCTTAGTGACCAGCAGGTCAAGATCTGGTTTCAGAACCGGAGAATGAAAAAGAAAAGACTTCTGCTGAGGGAGCAAGCTCTCTCCTTCTTTTAGGGGGCAGGACACTGGAGCTAGCCCTAGACTGAGCTTGTCCTGGCGGAGAGCAAGAGGGGGCGCCGCCTGGGACACGTCCCCGCTTAGTGCGCCAGGCATCTCTGGCAGGCTCTCCCTGGACATCCTCTTGTCTGTTTTGTTCGTGGTTCCCTCCCACACACCGCCAGGCAGGTCCTGCCAGGTCCCAGAAAGAAGGGGAAAAAACTTAGCCAGGGAGAGAGCAAGCCTACAGCTGCCGCTGGTGGCAAGGGTCAGGGAAGGCTAGGACGTTGCGGAAGGGCTGGTTTATCTGAGGCGGCCTGGGGCTCTGAGCCTCCCGCTGAGGAGCTGAAGGAGCAGCAGCGACCCTGACGCTCCCTTTCTCCATTTCCCTTCCGTGGTCCTAAGTTTCTCTATTTGGAGGAGCAGACAAGGTTAGGAACAGTGGAACCAAGGAACCCAAAGTCACAGTTGGTGGGGTTAGGCGGGGTTGGGAGGAGAGAAAACGAGTGGAAAATCAGCGGAGAGTGGAGGGGGTCAGGGTAGCTCTGGCAGGGCCAGAGGAAGTGGGGGAACCGAGGAGTGCGGTTTGGGAGAAGAGAATGATAGGCAAGACTCAAAGTTCGCTCAGGTCTGGGTCCTCCAGGCCTGGACACCGAGTGGGTTGAAATGCTCGCGTTTGCCAGACTGTGCCATGAACAAGGAGATCATCAGCCTATGTCCCTTCTAGGACGGTTGCTAGAAAGGTCTCCGGGTCCCTAACTTTCTCCTGAGCCCCCTGCCCGCCCCAGGCGAACGTAGGCTCACAGGTGTGCCGCAAGTCACTCTTCTCGCCCCTACGAGGCTGCGGACCGGAAGCGGGGAATTGAAGGCCGAATCCACGCAGCCACAGGTTCAGTAACCACTCCAAAGACCCCCCACTTGGCCCTGAGAGAAGCCCAAGAGGCTGTGGAGCACGGCATTGATTGGCGAGGAGAGTTTCCGGGCATCCACGGCGGCGGACGCTGATTCTCCTTTCCCCGCTGGCGTTCACGGTCACGGCCGGAGGCTGGACCAGCGTAATTTACGAGGCGGGAGGAGAATCTGCCCTTAAAGGGGCTACTGGCTGTGGAGGCCCCGCACAGCCTGTTTCCCAGGCTGGCGACAATGAAGGAGGGGGGCGCTGCAATTCCCCACCCAACTCCTTTCTCTCTTTCCCCTACCCGCCCCCCAACATCGCCCTTTGTCTCAGGATCGGCTGCCTCCGCCTCCCGGTCAGCTAGCCACAGAGTACAAGGGCCAGAGCAGAGGGAGGGGCACATCCCTAGAAGCAGTTGGAGGCCAAAGAGTGGCTTCTTCAAGCAAGAAGGCCTTTTAGCCACAAACCCCTTCAGGCCCCAGCTCCTGTCCGGTAGATTCTGGGCTGGCTCAGAAAAGAGGAGCAGTTGAGAGAGCACACCAGCCGTCCTGTAACCCGTTTTTATTCCTCTCCTCTAAGGTCCCCAAACCTTTCATCTGCTCTCTTACCCCAGTGGGAGCAAGAAGAGTTGAGAAGCAAGTGGCTGATGGAGTTAAGTGCAGCCTGGACAGGGTGAAATCAGCCTGCTGGCTTGGAGTGTTTCCTGCCTGGGGAGAGTCTCCCCACCCTCCCAGGGCAATCCACAGAGCTGTTTGGACTCTCTCAACAGCACACAGCTTCAAGTCTCTATACAGAGTTGTGCAGAGACACAGGGAAGCTGTGCATACAGCTGAGGCCAGCAAACCATTGGGACCACCCCACTCTCTCTACTACAGCTTCACAGTCCCCATACAGCCCTATAGAGAGGAG